TGTATCTGATCATAACAAAATTTTCTCTTGTTAAAGCATTTGGCTTCATTTTTAACCTTTGTACTCTGGTTTCATATACCGGGTGTCCTCTGTAATTTTTGCTATCACGATATTACTTGAATTTTAATGTAATTAGTATGTTAGATATATAGGTGTCCACTGATTATTTTTAAATTAATATTTTAATACTTGTATTTGCAAAATTTTTAAGTTTTCCTACTATATTGTTGTAACTAAACCTCAAGTCTAGCTCTGTTACTATATTCTTCTTTGAACTTTTCATGCACCTTTGCTGAACCATTGACATTAGAAGGAAGTAGTACCCGTGGAAGCGGTCTAAGAGATTGAGTCTGTGGATCCCCTCGTTTGACGAAGGTATTGGTGACCAGCTGACTCGTGTAGTCACAAAGCCGTGCACGAGCTTAAATCCTCTACGGACCACCAGACTCGTTATATCTCATCTCCCCAGGATAATAAGGGTACATTTCTTCCATAATTACGTTCTGGCCAGAAGAAGTGCTCCACTTACTTTACAGAAATATTGTTAATCAGAGCCAGGTATAATTGTCTCAGAAGTTCTGAGTTTGTACACAATTTTTGCAACTTGTATAATTGTAACAGAATTTTTAAATAAATCAATTTTATCTTAACCTAATAGTAGTATAGTTTTTTCATTAGCTGGCGCCCAATAAACTGTTTTCAGGTTACGGTTGTTATAAAAACACAAGTAAATCACTTACTCACGACTCCCCTGAGCTAGCTGGAGCTACGTTCTGTAAGCTCTAGGGGTAGTTGCCAATACAAACCCCAGGGTTTCATTGCAAGATGTAGGACCTTCAAAAACCTTTTCAGGAAAAATATTACAATATAATGTAGCTATCGATTAAAGGGTTGACTTCAATAATTGTTTATGTATGTATGTACCTTAGAAAATATCAACCTATATAATTGTTATCAAAAGGCACATTATGCAAGTTTGTGATTGAAATAGCCTTGAAAAAGACGTCAATTAAACGTCAAATCTTCGACATTTTTAAAAAATGTACATAAACTCGTCTGCTTTGTGCTGAGCTCCACCCCAATAATTACCTATGAAGTTCAGTATTAGGTCTACCGCACACAACATACAGTTGGTTGCTGTGGAAAATTAGAAGATAACGGGAGAAGATGTAAAGACGCCCCTGTCTACCGTTTACGCAAAGGGTCGAAAGCTGCAAGATGCGCAAGCGTGACGATAAGGGTGTTACGCAAGCTAAGCTGAAGACGCGCGACGCGGGGGTAGTTCCGAACATTTTGTCCACATGCAATAACGCCTAAACTTAACGTGCATTAAGGACTTCGTTAATTTTATTGTTATCGATATAGTGTTATATATTTTATGCCTGAATTCATTTTGTAAATACACGAGTTTATTACGATCCCGGGATTTTATTTTCCTAACGAGAACCTAACGTCGTTGTTCTGCTTTCTTTCTTTCTCTTTCGCTGCTTTTTTTACAGTTGCCTACTATTTTGTAGGAACACACCACACATCGACCGATAGTAGATGAAATCGGAAGTCTAGAATCACTGTTCGCATACGTACAGATAGTCGGTGGTGCGTTTAGTTATAACTCGAATTCGTAATGTTTGCCGTCTCGGGTGTTAAACTGTCTTAGAATATCCTGCTCTCCCTCGCCGGGATTGCGTACTACTGCGCATACGCGGGTTCTGGAACGTTATCTGGAAGGGACAATGCCGTAAGTAGCACAGGCTGAAATACATCCATATATAATTTACAAGACGCTTAAAAATACGGTCTATATTTTTATTATCGTAGAGTTTTATAGTGCCGAGCCCTGCGTTGCAGCACACATTTCCGGACCCTAATTATAATATAGACGGGGTGATGAGTATTCAAAGATTAATGTGCGTGGAAATATTACTGAAAGGTACATATAAAAAAGAAGGAATTGTGATTTTTTACCATTTTTAATTTGCCCACTTACTAGTCAACGTTTATTTAAATGAAACTTTCATATACTATCTGATGATCTTGTATCCAAGACCAGAATGTGACTATATGGTACGCTTCTGACCATGCATATTTAGCTCCATAAGTTACCCTTTTTTGCTCAATTTTAATTTAATTTTTTTTTAAATACTTAGTCAAAACTTGTCTTGGTGTCAAATATTTTCATTATTTATACTCAAAAACTTATATATTTCAAAATATTTTAACATTTAGGGGTTTATATGGTATCCCACAGATATACAGTGCGTCCATAAAGTGACGCATAAATTCATTATTAGCTAAATGAACAATATTATTGAAAATTCCCGAGACAGGTCAATTTTTGATTGCGATTTACTATTTTGTCACATAATAATTTAATATACAGGGTGTCCCACCTTCGAGTAATGACGCCACCACCGATTTTTTTAAATGGAATACTACATTTTTTTTTTCAAGTTTCGGATGACCCTGGCCGAGCTGAGTCCAAAAATGTATCACAAGTTGCTTCTATCTATTACAGGGTGGACAACAATACATAAAGTGTTTATGAAAAATTTCATTAGAAAGTTATACGTTTCTGTATTTTTAGAAAAGTCACAATAAATGCTCAAATTGTTCTCCGTTGACTGCTAAACAATGACCGAATCGGGCAATACATTCGCTTCTGACATTTTGTAACATAGCAGGTGTTATGTTTAACGTTTCTTGCCTGATTCGATCTTTGAGCTCACGGATGTTCTCGGGTCTATTAGTATAAACTTTAGATTTCAAATAACCCCATAAAAAGAAATCTAGTGGAGTAAGATCAGGTGATCTAGGGGGCCATTCCACTGATCCTCTTCTTCCTATCCACCGATCTGGAAAGGTTCTGTGTAAAAACTCGCGCACAGCTATAGCAAAATGTGGTGGTGCACCATCCTGTTGAAACCAAATTCTGCCGTCTAAAGTATTGGCTATTTCAATATCAGGAAATAGCCGGGTCAAGTCAGGAATTAATGTATATTGTAAAAAATTCAGATACAATGCTCCTGTCAAATTTTCATCAAAAAAGTATGGACCAACAATTCTATTTCTCACAATACCAGCCCACACATTGACCTTTTGTGGATGTTGCGTATGGTATTCTTGCATCCAGTGTGGATTTTCCTGAGACCAGTAGCGGGTGTTTTGCCGATTAACATGCCCGTTCAAAAAAAACGTTGCCTCGTCAGAAAATAAAATATTAGCAATGAAACCGTTATTTTGATTATTGTGGTCCATCATGTACTCGCAGAATTCAGTTCTTCGGTCAAAGTCGTCTTCAGCCAATTCATGGATGAGGCGTACTCTATAGGGATGGTATTTTACCTTTTTTAAAAATATTCGATACTGAAGACTTTCCAATATTCAAATCCCTAGATACTTGCCGTACTGTACAATGTGGATTTTCTAGTGCCGACAAAATTACGTCTTGTTGAACATTTTCATTAATTTTAGGTCTACCTTGCCTTGGTGCATCCCTCACGTGTCCTAATTCTCTGTATTTTCGCTCTATTCTGCTTACTGTAGATTGTGAAACAGGTTCACGATCTGGGTGCATTTCATGGAATAATCTACACACCTCTTGTTGAGTCCGCATTCTGTCGCCAACACCAATCATCATTAGAATTTCAATCCTATCCCTTTCATTTAAAGGCATTTTCAACAAAACGTTTTAAATAAATTAGATTTAGGTTTCACTTAAAGTACCTACTTTGAAGCGTTAACAATACAAAAGTGAACTCTAAATAGCCGTTTTTAATATGGCAAAAAATGACAATGACAATCAAAAAACAAATGACAAAAAAAATAACGAACCACGTATCGCGCCTCGCGTCATTCGCGCGTCTTGTCCAAACTGGTGTTTATTAAAGTAGTTGTATTTTTGTATCACAATAACGTTAATTTAATTTTTTTTAGTGCGTTTAATCAGCAATACATAATTTGTAATTTTTGTACTGTTGTCCACCCTGTAATAGATAGAAGCAACTTGTGATACATTTTTTGGACTCAGCTCGGCCAGGGTCATCCGAAAATTGAAAAAAAAATGTAGTGTTCCATTTAAAAAAATCGGTGGTGGCGTCATTACTCGAAGGTGGGACACCCTGTATATTAAATTAGTATGTGACAAAATAGTAAATCGCAATCAAAAATTGACCTGTCTCGGGAATTTTCAATAATATTGTTCATTTAGCTAATAATGAATTTATGCGTCACTTTATGGACGCACTGTATAATATATCCCATAGAAACTATTTTGGCTAAGAAAATATTGAACCTTACCTCATAGGAACGTAATAATCGGAGTGCTGTACATTTGTTAAGGGATCTTTTTAAAAATCCATCTCTTATATTTTTACACTTTCAACCCCTAAATAAAAACTGACATCAACAATATATTAAGCCCCACGTATAACATTGTAATCACTGTTGTTTAAAACACTCGACAAGTTTCTAAAGTTTAAAGAGTTTACAAAAAACCCCATTCCTAATATTTCCACCCTTGTCACCCCTGGTTTAAAATATTCCCCAAAAATTTATTCAACTCAAAAAAAAAACCTGAGTACGTATTTTGGTTCTTTGCTATCTGACTTGTGAAAATATATGAATTTTGTCCACCTAAATTGGTGATTAGTCCCACTGTGCGACGTTTAGCCTTAATTTACCTCTGCAGCGTCTTGTGACACCTCATGGTTAAAAACCGCATGTCTGTATCGGGCCTTATCAACTCTCAAATTTTAAATTGATAAGTAACGTACTTATTGGTATTAGAAAAACATTTTCTTTTCATTCAACAGCTGTTAAATAAATATGTATGTATGGATAATATGTTTACCTATCTTACATGTACATAATAATAATAATAATAATAAATCACACTACAGAAATTGACATTCTTCCTCTAATAGTCATTACGACTGTGCAGAGGGAGAATACACATGGAAAAGACGAAGGATACACAACCAAACCCTGTGACAGGTGCCAATTGTCACAGGCGGGATTCGAACCCGCGCAGATAATAGCTCTCAGAGTAATCGCCATCTTCTCACCTGGCGCTTTACCCACTGAGCTATCGCCGCGGTCACATCACTGCTAATATTTAATATTTGCGAAGCAGTGTTTTCTACTTCTCCGGACACAAAGCAGAGGAATTCCAACAGAGCTATGCTGGATGAAGAGAAATGTCGTAATTAGTAACCGCAAGTTCTTCGAATATCTGTGGTATACAGTAGACTATAATGAACAAATTTCTAAGATAATTATTATTAGGGTCCGGAAAGTGTGCCACAATGCACAATTAAAGTATAAACCGTATTTTTTAAGCGCCTTGTAAATTATACACGCGTGTATTTCTTGCCCGTGCATAAGTACGCTAGTAACAAGGTCGTGGCTAGTAACGCGCACTGGAACTCTAGTAACCCAGTCTCGTGCGGGTGGTACGCATACTTGAATTGAGTTTAGCCACGGCCTGTGCTCCGATTCCGTAGTGTTTACGTTAACTCGATGAGAGCGGATGGACGGTAGAACGCCGTGTTTAAAATAATTTTATGTGACATGATTGACTAACTCGTGAGTTCGTTAATGCATCTACATATTACCTGCTTTGTGTGGATTTTTGCAATAATGGATTTTATGATAGATGAATCACATATTTTATGTATTCCTTGCAGTCATATATATGTATTTTGATTAGACACTGAGACTGTGAAAGACATTTATAATCGAATATCCGTCAACGAAATATTACTGGTACTGTTACAAAAGATTTTTTGTTACGATAAGATTTGTTACATTTTGGTTTGATTTGTGCATGTTTTGCGCATGTAGCCTTTTGTGGAACGTTGTCAACAATATTCACTTTAGACATTGTTTCCACAAATATGTATCCGATTTTCCATTGCCTAGTAGCCTTACTTGCATAAAACATATTTACAAAAGACATATCAACGTGTCATGGGAAATATCAAAGAAGACATATGTAATAAATTTCTGTGGCTGACAGTGAACGAAACAACAGATTTTTGAGGTGATAAGGTCGTTACTGTTCTCATAAAAATTTTAGATGTTTCTGATATTTCACCCCCAATAATGATGCTAGTAGATGGGTTTCGCAAACAACTACTAAAATTATTGAAATATTAGTAACACGTGCAATGTCCTTTGTAGATGCAAAAAATAATAATGTACTAATGTTAGTGACAACAAACAACTGTTACTGATACAAACAACTGTGAGAAATTCGTGATAATAATATGCGTGGTGTGTCCTCTTCTGTCCGTGTGAACCCTTTTGAATATGCATATTTAACTACAGTAGATGTAGAACGATCATTTTCCTTCTATAATCAAACGTACAGGCCAAATCTCTCACATTTAACGAAAATAAATGCAGAAAGACTATTGGTTGTTGCAACGTACGCTCAAGCACTGAAGATAGTCGGTGTTTCTGAATTACACAAGTGATGTAAGCAAGGTATGTATAGTCCTTCTATTTTTAATTGAAAATGATAAATACGCCTGGGGAACAAAAAAAAAACGGTGGAACTTTATGATTCCTTGGGCGTGCTCGAATAATAACTTTTAGGGATAGGTAATAATAAGTAATTAACGTCGCTTTTATATCATGACTTTTTTTTAGTTACATACATACATATGTATATGTATGTAAATAAACATAAACATAAAGTGATCTATAACAATCCCAGCTTTAACAACGCGATAAATTGTGGATATTGAAATTTTAGTCAATTTATTAATTCGATTAATAATTTCAGTATCAGTCATTTTTTCATTTTCACGTTTTAGGCATTCATATATGTTTAACATAATACGCTGACTTTGAGAATGTAAGTCTTTATTTTTTAATTCATCGTACTCGACCGTTTCGACATTTTCGCTGGTTATATCTAAAGCTACGTTATTTTCATCCGTTTCGAAAGGCCTCCAGAAAGCCATGCTTATGAAAGAGGTATTGATTAAAAATATTATTTATGATGCAAATAAAATAAAAGATTTTTTAAAATATCCCTTTTTTCAATTTGTTATTATTTTTCCTTAAAATAGGATTTAGGCAGACTAAGCCATTTTTTTTTTTTACTAATACCTACTTTTTTTCTTTTAAAATAACTTTTTTTTTTTTCTAATATATAATTCAACATATAGTGGCCCCCTTTTATATAATTTAAACCTTTTAAAAACCCAATCCGCCGTTAATGTAGCCCACAGAATTTAAGACATCAAAACACTCACAAAACCAACGTTTTTTTGTATACAGTCGGTCAAAGATAGCGTGCTTATAACCCGTGTTTTACCGCCAACTTACTGAACTCGGTCGACTGGGTCGAGCACCGTGGAATAAGTCCTTATCCTACCTCGTATAAGTACCTATTTTCAATTTAAAATGGAATAGGTATACATTATTAACACAATTCTTACTCCGGTCTTTTTGGTCTCTCATATGACCTTCCGTCAATGACATGACGGATTACAAGTCCGACCCTGCGTTGTGGCACACTTTACGGACCCTAATTATTATAATTGCTATATTAGTGAAAGTAGGCCTTATTACAAGAGATACATATCGCTTGTCCGGAAGAATAATGACACATCTCGAAAATTAGAACTTGTCAAGAAACGCAATTGAAAGTCATTATAACACAGGCCCACAAAAAAATATTTTTTTTTGACTAGGGATAAGAACATATTTTTTCTAAGACTATGGATAAGAACATGCTGATGTTCCGCGGCACATTTCGGCCACCTCTAATCATCAATCAGACATATTTTAAGGGGTAACACCACTCTAGCGACCAAAAAAAGGCCTAACTTTAAGAATTTATTTTGGGATAATGGTAAAAGGAAGAGTATTTCTTTTTAGAGGGCTTATTAAACATGTATTGAAGTTTAAAAAAAGAAATTATTGTTCTTTTAATACAAAATGGCGGAGATACAGCCAATCTTCGACCGCGCCTTTTTTTTTTAAGGTCCTTCACGGCAGGACAAATTTCTCAGAAAACTGAAGACCTAGAACAAAAAACGAAAAAATGTTCTTAATCTACGTACTATTGGCTAGAGAAGTACGTAGGGGTTTGTTTTTAAATCGATTTTTGTGCAAATGGCGCACTTATGAAAAAAAACTCGATTTTCGGCCAAAAAATCGTCAGTAAATTGTTTATAAAAAAAGAAAATTTTCGTTGAATCAAAAAACGGCCACGTACTTCTACGGAAAATGTAATTGGGAAGCGCGATTTTTCAGATCGATCGAATTTCAGATCGATCCATTGAACGGTCTCCGAATAATCTTTCCGGCCAGTTCGAAAAAAGTGGTTTCGAGAAAAACGCGTTTAAAGTTTTATGAGCACTTAAATTCTCAAAAATCTCTTTTTACCTTTAATCTGCGATGCCTGCTCCATACATTTGACCATCTATATTGATGTTCGCCTCCTCCTCTTCCTTTCTGGATGATTTTAAAGACAATCGGACCTTTTTTGCTGCATCAGTAAGAGAGCGCTCAGAAAAAAATCGGAGAGCGCGAAATTTCGAAAATGACGCGCTCAGACTGAGTGTGGCAAAATTGAAAATAAAACCTGTTAATTTTTTTTCACTGTGGGACCAATTGTATATCATTTTTATGACCCTAAAATACAATTTAAGCCAAAAAAAAATCGATTTTTTTAAAATCCTAGAGTGGTTTACCCCTTAATTTAATTAATTCAGGAGCTGTAATTTTTCAGTTACTTATTATTTTCTGATTTTTTGAACACATCCAATGTACCTATGCGATGCTCTTATTGCTGAAAAATGCAATCATTATGAGGTATATATTGGGAGCAAATAAAAAACATTTTTAGGCCAATTGATATATTTAGTATTGACAGAATTGTGAATGTTGTACCCTCTTCACATATAGAAACATTTTCAATAGATATATTAAATACTAACAACTGTTTTTAGATTAGGGCATCTTTTTAACGGCTAAATATCACTATTACCGTAAAAAGTACCTGTTATGACATTACACCTATACATACATACATAATTACAATATGATATATATCAGGAGATACCTATGATTAAGTCAGACATGCATTCCCACTGAGGATGTGGCTGGATAAACCCACAGTGGGAGAGCAGCTAACTGCGGACACGTAATGGATTGCCTCAACATAAGCTGCATTCAAAATTGAATATTACATTATTTTAATCTCACAAAGGATATTAATATAGTGTACCGCACTGTTAAGGGTTCGCTTGTATGAGAACTTAATATTTTTAAAGTTACACAACAAAGTTACATAGTATTTTAAGTTGTGTTTTGTCAGCCTTTATCAAGATGACCAAGGAACCTATTTGTTTCAGAACTAGACCCGCCTTTGAACTTTTTGCTTTAAGATTACTAATTATGTAGGTACATAGTTACAGAAAGTTATAGTTAGGAAACCCACCACATGCGTTTAGCTTTTTGTATTTACAGATATAGATTTAGCTTTTCTGTTAATAGAGTAAGGAGTGGAGAATATTCTGGTAACATGTATTTTTCAGACTATTGAGTTGTCTGTTTTGAAAGTATACATTATTAAGTCCATATACCCTTCTGTATGGCTTTTAGGCTAAACGAATCTTCATAATAATCGAGAAGCATTTGTATTTTGAATAAGTAACTTTCTAGAAATTTAAGCTATATGGATATTAGACTTTGGTAAGCTAGGCCTCAGTTCCTAGAGCAAAATTTAAAAAAATGGTTTCATTAACTACATCATGTTTTGGGAAACCATTTCGTGTCCAATGGAGATTCCTCTTCATAAAATCGTTGTCTGAATTACATGACAACTATTAACACAAAATTATCACAAAACAACATCAATCAAACGAAATAATGTCAAAAGTAAATGTATATATTTTATTGTTCCTATCAGTTTTACTCCACAAATAATACTTTCAGGTTAATTTTGTTGTTCACGCAATGAAATTAACAAATATATAGCTATTATTAAAAGTTTGACAATAATCGTTAACCAAAGTCGCGCAATGGTCGGTATCAAAAGTTTCAAATATACCATCCAGACCTCTATTAAAAAAAT